GTTTAAAGTAAGCTTTTCGCAAATTCTACGGTCGGTATATGACCTTGTTTGGAAATAAAACCTGTCGTTGGGTCGTATTTTGCCTGGCATGTTTCATACCATTGCTTTTTTTAATACTAAATTTGACAACAAAGTACCCCATCTACCCGATCAATACATACGGCTTACGGCGGGTGTGGCCGGTCGATAGGGGAAGCTTACTCCTCCTAGGACCTGATCCCACCTCTGGTGTTTCCAGGTGTCCTTTTTTTTCCCCTGTTCATGAGTTACTGTAGTTTAGTCTTTCTCTACTGTATTTATGAGATTGATCAATAGTAGTTCGTTTCCTTCACTTTTTACACAATGAATTATATCTTTCACGAGACATTTGTCTGGTAAGTTTCAGTGTTCGACGGGGTCCTGAGAGATCTAATCTTAATTCAATTGCTTGATGATCACTTTTTGAAGGGGAAAGGGTATTTGCCGTAAGATCTGTAAAACTGATTTCGCCGATTAGACAACATACTGATTGCAAAACATATGAACCACCAACGTTCAAAATTATTACCTATCCCACAGAAAGTACAAATTGTTTCTGAATTTATTTCCTTTGTTAATATTTTAAAACAGTTTTTTTTATGATTTAATACATTTTACATATGATTTCTCTGGAAAGTCTGGAATGAGTAAATTATAAAATGAACAGTATTCTACCTGTATATCATTCTATAACTTTTCATCTCTAAATGGTTTGGGTTATTTAGTATTTATAACAATAAACCTCTCAAGCCTCTAAAAAAATCATACACTAATGATGACCAACAGTTGCGGCCTATTTGGCACTAGTGTCAATGCAAGTTTTCTTGTGCATTACCTTTATCGACCTTGTGTAACTGTGTACTTTTTCCAGTTTATATGCATGTTTATAGAATGACAGTGATTCATTTTAGCTCACCTGAGCCGGAGACTGAAGTTAGCTTTCTTGATTGACGTTTGTCGGGCGTATGTATCTTTGCCATTATTTTTCATTTCAACTACTCCAATATCATTAGGCATATTTAACCAAATTGCCCAAAAAGCGTCCTTGGGTGAAAGAGATTTTTTCAAAGGAAGGGACGTGGCCTTTGTCAGAGAAATACGGCAAATAAGGTGAGCCCAACAATAAGAAATGTTTCGTTTGATGTATTCCGACCGACCCATCAAAACTGCCCCTACCTGATCATTTTTCCCCCCTTTTTTTTGTCGTAGGGAAATCCGGTTACTGAAATGGTAAAAATGGCGGACAGGCGGCTGCCAAAAGGGTACATCATTTTTTCCCTACAGTTTTCAAGATAGGATTATTTTATTTTGCAGATCAATTGTACATACATTAGAGATGTGAATACTACATGGATATAGTTTTTGGTCATTTTTGAGAAAAATACTAGCTGTTGAACGAAGTCACTTTTTTGCAAAATATTGCATAAAGGGTACCCCATTTTTCCGATTAACTCCTCCTACAGTTTTCAAGATAGGCAGGTCTTATTTCACAGATCAGTTGGTCATATATTAGAAATATGCATGTTACTTGGATTTTGATTTTTGATCATTAATGGGGGAAATGCCATTTGTTGAACTTAGTCATTTCTATGCAAAATATCCTAATAGGGTACACTGACTTTGTTTTGATGTCACCTCCTACAGTTTTTAGAATAGAAAGTTTTTATGATACACGGCGTTAACATTCACAAGAGTTATTTTCCTTCTTCGGTGAATCTAGGGTCAACCAGCATAAGGTGTTGTTTTCCCTCTGTAACATTACTAACTTTATGGGGCAGTGTCTGATGAATGAAATCTATATGTGTATGTTCATTGTTTTCTTTGTTGCCCCATACTTTGCCAATAAAGGTATGATATAAAATTGTCAAAAGACGTTGAAACATTTGAATTTTTTTTACAGGTAAAGTACAAAGGATATAGAGAGAAAATGGGTACAAAGGGAAATAATCTTGCAAATGGAAATTGTTCTCTATTGATATGAAAAATGCCAGTTCTGTTCACACAAAGACAGTTCGGTTTGCTGTCACATTGACAGCCTTCCACTTGTTTTCAGTACTTTAATTTTTTTTTCCTTTATGAGAAAATACATATCGTCTAACGTGCGTTTAAACTTTAGGTTCCATATGTTTTTGTTTTGTTTTTGTTTTTTGTTTTTTTGGTTTGTGTGTGTGTGTGTGTTTTTTTGTTTTTTGTTTTGCTGCATTTTACAAACATCTAAGCTATGTTGATGAAGTTTAAGTAAGAGTCATGGAGTAATAAATGTGTAAATCTGTGATTTTCATAACATTTATCATTGTGTTAGATAATTCCAGAAATGAAAACCTACCTACCTACCCACCTTGAAAAATATGGGTCAGATCACATTAAAGAAATTTTAATGATGGCCTGAGGTTATTCAAGACACACTCGACCAAAAATGTCCAACGTTATGTGAACACTTTCTTAAGGTTCAAGTTTCATAAAAGCTATTTACCTTTGAGCTAAGTTTTGTATGGGGAGATATAATATGGATTATCTTTAAAATATCTTCTTCTGAAGAACAGCAGAGCTACAACTGGTCAAACCGATACAAGCTTCTTCATATATTGGCTCGTTACGTGATCGGGAGGTCAGGGTTCGATTCTCTATCCCAGCACTGCGTCAAACCTAATATCTTTCAAGCTCTTGTTTTCAGATATAGTAAATTAGTGACTGGTTCTTCGCCAAGCGCTCTGCATTAGAATGGAAATTACGGGTCTTTCGGGTTAGACGTTAAAACGAGCTCCCGTAACACGATAGTGTTGGAAAGGTAAAACATCCTCGAGGACTGCCAGGACCATATCGCCTTACATAGGTCAAAATTGGTGACACTTCACCGATTGCAAGTGACGTCTCCACATGAATAAAAAATTCTTAAATTGGACAGTCGATCATTCTAGTGATGGTCGGTATCTGCGCTTGCTGTATGATCGAAAGGTCGTCGATAAACCTAAGTCGCGATAAACCTAAATCAAACAAAAGAGGCTGCAACCGTTCCTTTGCCAAGCGATCGGCACTTTGAAGTGAAAATTGCTGGTCTTTTGGATGAGTCCTTCAAAACCGAGTCCCCGTGTCACGACAGGCGTTGGCACGCTAAAGACTCGAAAGCCCTGAGTTCCGAGTACGGAGCAAGCACTCTGCCGACTGCGTTACCCTGACGGTCGTTAAATAGGGAATAGTGTTAATATCTGCATCCTCTGTTTGACTCTTTGTTATGATTATTTGGAAGTCTACCGATTGAACTACCGTGACGGTAGTGGGCTCGAAAACACGTGGGAATAGATCTCTTTTAGAACAAGAGGCCTAAGAACCGTAACAATCACCATAGTATTAAAAAAAGACTGCATGTAAAAGATCAATAAAAGTCTAAAATAAATTGATAGAGGAAGATGTGTTGCCCAAAGCAGGAGAAATGGGATAATAAGGACAGGGTGCGAAAAAAACACCCGTCCACTCGTCCAGGACGAGTGAAAATCAGCCGAGGACGGTTGAATGTGCTTGTCTCTGGTGACTAGTAAAATTTTTGCCGTGATAATAAAAATGCTTCTTGTTTCCAACTTTAAAGTTATATTGTATTTCTATTCAACGAAATGTGGACTGTTTGCCTGTCCTTATGCACTAAAAAGACTATATTCCCTATTAGAAGTCGATCCCTTCTGACCGCGAGTTGTCATAAATAGCGCGTCTGGTTGAACGAAACTTCAATAAAGAGTAAGATATAAACCATATTTCCGGACTGAATTGGTCATTCTTTATTATTAATATTACATTTTACGTTATATTGAAGGAAATGTCCATTTAAATTACGTAATATCTATTGCAATGTATACTGTACATTTTATTTTAAAAAAGGCGTATAATTATTTGCCGTGGAAGACAAAGAAGTCATTCCGGAAAGGTAATCTTTTTATCCCCCCTTAATCGAAGATTCGGGGGCATATAGTTTTGTCCTGTCAGTCTGTTTGTCCGCAGAGACTTTAATCTTGCCCATCACTTTTGATTGGTTGAAGATATGGCTTTCATATTTCACAGGTGTATTCCTTTTGACAAGACCTTTCTTTGGGTACCAACATATTTGACCTCTTGACCTCAGAGTTTGACCCACTTTTGCAAAATTTTACCAAATTTTTAACCTTGGCTATAACTTTTGAACAGTTGGTACATTGAGCTTTCATTTTTCACATGTGCATTCCTTATGAGAAGTCCTTTCCTTGGGTATAAATATTTTTGACCTTGGAGTTTGACCCACATTTAAAAAACTTTAACCTCTTGAATCTTTTGAACGGTTAGTACTAGCCAGGCTTTCATATTTCACAGGTGTATTCCTTGTGACAAGACCTTTCTTTGGATACCAACAATTTTGACCCTTTGACTTTGGAGTTTGACCTACTTTGAAAAACTTTAACCTTTGCCATAGTTTTGAACAATAGGTGCTAGGGCTTTCATAATTAACATGTGTATTTCTTGTGACAAGACCTTCCCTTGGGTACCAACAGTTTTGACCCTTTTTTTTCTTTGACCTTGGAGTTTGCCCTGGAACCTAAATCGAAATTTCTAAACCTAATTGTACATTTCAAAATATGGCCAGTCATATGCAAAAACATTTTCTTTAGGAAGTGGAAGCGATTACAAGAAAGTTTGACGGACAGACGGAGATATAGCTTTCTTTAGAAAGTGCAGGTATGACAGATTATGAATCCCTTTCCAATAATCAAAACCGAAATACCCTGATAAATTGTTTTATATTTTTTAATTTTGGTTAAAACTTTAAAAGATAAATAATAGTGTCGTTGTTTTGAATTTAAAAAGAATAAATCAAATGACTATGTTCTTTACATATCTACAAGATTTATTGAGAATCGAATAACATCAAACATCGATCTGAATCACCAGGGTTAAGATTCATAAGAGCAGTTATGATTGATTAATCTGGTATCATTACTAATTTATTGATTAAACTGGTATCATAACTCAAGGTGTTTTCTTTTAAATAGTTTTCGCAGTCTTGAAAGTATAGAAACTTGACTCTTTTTCAAGGACTTTTCTTCTGAAGATGAGGTTTTAAAGATCACATTCTCATCAATGCAGAGACAGGAAGGTTTTCGACAATTGCTGTTCTTTTTTTCTCTTTGAAGTTTCTTTGTAATATCCACCAGGACTTTGTCGATATTCCATTGTAGAGAAACGGAAACCTCCACAAAACTGCAGTTGTTCTCTTGTGCCAATTTCAAACCCTCTATAATAGTTAAAAGAATTTTGAATTCTAGTATGTGTATTGTGCATTACAACTTTACCTCGTTAATACTGTTAACAGGTTTATTTTCGCCCTTTCACACTTGCAAACTACTAAGCCCCATTTTGAATTCGCCCAGGAACAGTTGTGTTAAAGGGAAAATACTGTTTTTTCGAGGGCGAAAGGGGTGAAAATAAAACGGGGCGAAAATTTTCCAGTATGTAGTTACAGTTCTAACTCGCAAAACCGACTTACCTGAACTGGAAACTTCCCGGAATCTTATTAGGTCTACTTTGTTTGCAACGATATAAACAGGTTTTGTGTCGCCTATTTCTCTTTTGATCTTCTTTAGTTTATTGGAGATGAAATTAAATGACCTTTTATCAGTTACAGAGTAAACCATCAGAAATGCATCGTATTGGTTGTTGTCTCCATGATTCTGAAGAAAGAATGCATCAATTAGAGATAATTTGCGAGTAAACAGACAATAAACATATATATATATATATATATATATATATATATATATATATATATATATATATATATATATATATGCATTTCCTAGAGCACCGTCCCTTGATGTCTTCAGTAGACTGGCAACCATTAATACACCTTTATCTTGTAATCTATTTACATTTATACACCCACCACGGTAAAATTTGTTTAAATTTTTCGATTATGTACATTTTCTCAATTTTATGTGATACACACATTATTGAATTACTGTTCTACATAAGTTATGAGGAGGAATGCTGTCCAGACAGTTACACTTCTGAGACATGTATATCCTAGAGCACTGTCCCTTGAAATCTTTTGTAGTTCAGGGACTCAATTGTAATGCCATATACGGCTTCCTGGTGTAAGGGAGATAATTCAAATTACTCATCAACTCTGTTTTGCTTAGACTCAACATCTAGTATTTTCATGTTCTGTATTGCTGTATGTTCATGTATTTTCTTGTCCTCTTGAGTGTTACAAATTATGCTTGTATCTATGTTATGCCCCAAATAAATTCTATTCTATTCTATATATATACATGTACGTGAAGAAGATACATGCGTACATGTATTTTACAGTCCCTGAAACGTTCTACTTTCCCATTTTTCCGTTCGCTCACCGTTCGTTCAGCGTGCGTTCACCGTTCGTTCACCGTACGTTCACCGTTCGCTCTCCGTTCACAGTTTTGCGTTCACCGTTCACCGTGCGCTCGCGTTCACCGTTCACAAAGCGTTCAGCGTTCGCTCTTCGTTCCGTTTACTTTGCGTTCACCTTGCGTTCAGCGTTCACCTATCGTTCAGTTGTCATTGCCATTCGGAACTCCCAAGTGAAAGGACTTATCTTTTTGTAGGTAAGGAGTTACAGATTTTTTAATTTAATACTAACATATCGTGTTTGAAGAATCATTATTTCATGGGGGGAAAATCTAAGATATATATTTTTTATTATTCTAACTTAGCTATCAGGTTATTTTTTAAATTACTCTGGGAAAAAAATGTTGTTACATGTATAAGCACATCCTGTACCTATGTGTAGAACGATGCTGAAATATTAAATTTAACTAAGGCCAATGTGCAAATACTTCAAGCACTGCAACATTTTGATGTTTTGTTAAAGACGACAAATCGTTAATGGAGATATAATTATCCAAGTCAAATAATTACGCAGCAAAATTACGAAAATATTTATTTCTAACGCGTTTTTTTTATTCAATTACTACAGAAAATATGATAGAACTAGTTCTGAGAGTTATACATAGTACTGCGGATATCCTGTTAATTTATTATCTTTGGAGCGAATTAAATTGATAGTGTGTTTAAAGGAAATATTTATTTAAAATGTAATGCACTACAGAATATTCGCTACTATAACACATGTATGTAAAGTATATAGTTATAGAGAAAAAAATCTTTCTTCGCCGTAACTTTATATGTTTGCTATTCGATATAATTAATAACCCCCCCCCCTTTTCCCCTAAATCGGTTAATTTGTCAGTACTGTATTTCCAGAAAATTTTAATTAACCTGTTAAAAAAAAGTTAAGGTCTTTTTTAGAACAAAAATTTCAGTCTCAAAACAAACATGCATCTAAAAAAGTCACAATACAATTATAGTAGTTCAAAATGTACACGTGTCGGCGGTGGTATTTGAAATTGGCAGAGAGTATGTTTCAAATTCAAGTGTTAATGCCCAATATATTTTATTCACTAATTATTCAAATGTTGGTGTCAAATCTAGAAAAGATAAAAATAAATGTTATAACTTGTTGGAAATACTCGCAACTTCGTCTTCGATGTGACGAAACTTTCACACTTGCACAGTGTCGAATGATTTTGATTGACACGACAAGCACGTGGACTTCGTGTGAACTTGAAGCAGGAAAATAAAAACGAGTAATACTGTCAAACAGATGGATATGATTTGTTGATAAAAAAAAAAGTTACTTTCACTGTCTAATATATTTAGAAAAAAATATCAGAGTTATTGTTTGATATAGGTGCAAACATTTAGTGAAGCCTGAAAGGAAGGGGGGGGGGGCTGAAACGGAATCTCTCTCTCTCTCTCTCATTTGTTTGTTTGATAAAAACTATAACAGCATATTACTTAAATATCAAAGTCTGAAAATTGAATTAATAACAAATAATATGAATATGTATCTTTGTATTATCTTGTCTGAGTATAATCACGGCCATCTACAGATACATGTAGAAGTCTGCTCAATAAATCATCATGAAAAATAGAAATGACACATAATATATTATTGTATTAAACATTTAAAATACGAGCGTATAAATGCAAAACGTCCACTGACCTTTGTAATTAATTTTTTTTATTACTCTACATGAAATCGCCTTGACACGGAGATACATATATGAATGGATGTTACAATCGCTTTAATTCATTCTATAAGTCAGAAGTTTTCTCTGATTTGTTATCAAATAAGAATAAACATTTTTATTTTCCAGCTAAAAAAATATCTTTTATACTTCAGCGTTCGGCAACAATTGCAATGTTTTAATGCGTTAAAAATCGTGTGATTAAAAACTTAATGTGCATGAATCGTCTTTCTTAGGACAATTTTGGAGAATTTATTTTATTTACTTATTTATTCATTCATTTACTGGTTTACTTATTTATTATTATTTTTTTTTTTTGGCACCTGACATTATAATACAATAAAATAGTTTCAATGCAAGGAAAAGATCAGAGGCATTCCGAATATATCGTTCATCTTGCGTTCACCGTTCGTTCACCGTTCACTTTGCGTTCGCGTTTGCGCTCCGTTCGCGTTCTGCGTTCGCTCACCGTTCACACATCGTTCACTCACCGTTCGCTCTGCGTTCGTTCAGCGTTCGCTCACCGTTCAAGTGGGAAAGTAGAACGTTTCAGGGACTGTAGTTCAATATAAAATGTGTTGTCAATTATTTGTGATTTAAAAGCATACAGTTTAGCACTTAGCTATAATAGTTCTTTATCGATAATTATATTTACCTGAACATGCATATCAGCTTCCACAAAGTTAAGAGTTGATTCTTTACCCCCTAAAACTACAGGGACAGATATATTATTGGGATCTGGTCCTGTAGAAAAAAAAACCAAACATTCATAAATAAGCAAAACTTCTTCATAAGAAATACAAAATCATATATTACAGAACTCGCAGAGGTTTTACTGTAAAAAAATTTCAGCATAGTACCAACCTTCTGGGCATGATCTGAGAAACTCAGAAGTTCTCATTTGTTGAAGAAGGAATGATTTTCCAACTCCAGGAATCCCAAAGATTATAATATTGTGTTTCTTGATGTCGCTTTCTTGGAAGCAATCATCACTTTTAAAAGACATTGTTGAAAATCCAGATCCTCGCCTTTCTTGGCTTTCAATTTCAAAACTGGTCAAAGAACTTGTAGAAACTCGAAGTGAGTCGCCGCGGTTCTTAAAACCCCATTTTGTTCTGCGAAAGTTTCGAACCCTTTCCACAATTAGGGTTTCCTGTGGCATGAAAGATTCAGTGAAGGTTTCTGACCGATTTCTATCCGGTAGGTAAAGTGTTCTGTCAAATCTTCCAAAGTCAGAGAAGGACTGTGTCTGAGGTTGAAGACGACAGAGGGAAGTTTTTTTTCTTCTTTGTTTTATGCTCTCGTCCATGTTGCCGCAAGAAATGTTGATCATAGACATGTATGGGTTAAGATAGCATTTATATACATTGTTCTACTAGACATTTAATCTCATTAGTCATTTTCAACGCCAACAGCTTTTTTTCCTGGAAACACCGTAATTACTTCGAGGAATGTGACAGATAATTGGGCATACGTGACAAAAGACTATAAGTGGTAATGGCTAGGATCTACCACTAAAATCAGATTTTGATGTAGAAGTTTACAGCTAAATTCTTAGAGTCTTTTGGGTTTATCATCTTTTTTGTATTACATCAAGTATACATTGATGATATCTCAAAATTGGCACCGCTGTAAACGTAAACAAAATGCCACAAAATTAAAACTAAAAGGTTTATGAAATTGAAAGAACATTAATGTTTTCACTTCTAAGGCTCAATATTTGGTTATCTGTTCTTGGGACCGCACTTCACAGCGTCTCCTCCTTCGTAGACTGTTACATGTATAGGGTCTTCGAATATGTTACGGGGGAAGGGGGGTCCCCTTCAAATGTCAGTCGCAATGCGCTTCAGATCAACATTTCGTTTACATGCCGATTGAACTTTCCATGTTATATTTTGGTCTAAGATTAACTGTTCACTGTAGGATGTTGGTATTCTCAACTTTCCACCAAGCGCTCGTGCAGAAACATGACGAAGCGCATTGTCGTCCTGGAAAACTCACAGCCGGTTTGTTATATGTCTTGCATTAATTGAACTTATTTTCTCTCTCGTTTCACTACTTTCAAAACAAGCTAATTCAGAGAATTTGTGTCCCCCGCTTAATGAAAAAAGAAGAGCATGCGCGGTTCTAAGGGTCCGGACCTCCCACCCTCTGGAATTTGCAGTTATTATATGTACATACTGAATCAAAGCCTTATTATTAAGAAATAGGCTTTTCACGGATGGGAAAGGAGTTTCGATTTTTTCCCCAAGAATTTTCTGGGTTGGAAATTTTTGGACCAAGGCGGAACACCCCCCCCCCCTTTCTGGAAAAAAATCCTGGATCGGCGCCTGGAAGAGGATGGAAGAAATGGAATAATTCTGTAGATGGAAAAAAAAATCAACCTTGACCTTTTAGCTTTTGGCCTTAAGGCCACATAAATTTAGATTTTCGTCCTAATTTGCTTAAAAAATTGGGGCGGATGGGCGGATTTTATTATTTTATTTTCTATTACTGTTAACATCTACATAACGATCTTGTGCAAAATTTTCACATTGTAAATCCCAATATATATATATATATATATATATATATATATATATATATATATATATATATATATATATATATATATATATGTATGATTTCTTATTCTTTAAAATGTTTACAGAAGATTCTTTTTACATAAAATATTTATCACACTGTAATAATGATTTTATGAGAACGTTTATACACACCACACGTCATGACTGCTTGTATGAAATTGGGCGCGGATCCAAATACTTTGTACATATTGGTGCTTTACGTGTTATTCACCACTTCTCAATGGCCTTTTTCTAAATATATATTTTTTGTTTTGACTAACAACTACTTGTACTTTGTCTGAAAATATCACAGATTTCCATTGTCCTTATAAGGTTTAATTTTTTGTTCTTGACACGTTCGATATTGTTAAAATTTTAAACAACACATGGCGTATATAATTTAGGTTTTACTAAACAGATCTAATAGATTTACCATGTAATTATATAAAGTCCGCCGACAACTTGTATTATATGTCTGATATGACTTTCCACACGCTCCTGTGGTAAAAATAGTGCCACACGACTTTTAATACAAACGAAGAGAGTAATATCCATTTAAAGTTTCAGCCAATCAAAATGCAATGCACGTGCTTGTGCATGCTCTGAAGAATTCTTGTATTTATCATGCTGTAGAACATGTACCGATTTTCAAAGCACTTCGAAAAAATATGAACGTGAATTAAAAACTATATCAATTAAATGTCGATCATTTCTCTCGCAACAACGCAAAATGCGAACAAAAAAAAAACGCGAGTTATCATTCAAAAAGGATAAATTGTGTGTTTGTTTTTTGTTTAATGTCCCTTTTGAGAATTTTTCACTCATATTGAGACGCCAACACTTGCCGGTGGAGGGCTGCAAATTTAGACCTGTACTCGGCTCAAAGGGCCATTGAGCAGTGAGGGATCTTTTTCGTGCCCACACTTACTGCGACACGGGACCTCGGTTTATACGGTCTCATCCGAAGGACCGATTTCCACGTCCCGCAGTGGATTCGAACCCGCGTCGTAAGGATCAACTCCTTAATTACTCCGCGACTCTAGAGCAGACACTCTATATAACCACTGCGCCATATGACATGTGTGTATGTCCAATTTTTGATTATTAAAATTCTCACGCATATGAGAGCTTTTCGCAAAGTTCGAGGACTTTGGTTTTGACATTTTTACTAAATGTCATATTATATATCCAATTTTGTAGATATGTATTAACGATTAATTTGAATTTAAAGTTTTAAATATATCATGAAATATTTTTAAAAAATTTAATGTAAAACAACGAAAATGGGATCACGGAGCATTCAAAATTTAGTTGTTTACAAATAATGTACCGGTACTTGATGTCTGTAGTCATATTTCTGTAAAGTGGCGCAAAACGAAACTACAGGTTCTGTGAGCGAGCTCATAAAATAATATCCCCCCCAACCCCCGCCGTAAAAGTTAAAGTGTCCATTAAACTTTTGTAAATGTGACCTTGAACTTGCAAAAAAGACAAAGTCGCGGGTCAAAAGCAATCTCTGAACCAAGTATAAGCTTCCAGTGATTCTCCATTACAAAATTGTAGCTTACACAAGCACTTATCCTTTTTTTCTGGCAAGTGACCTTGAACTTAGAGGAATGACCTTGGGTTAAGGTACAGACTTAACCTCGGGTCAAAACTATCTCTATACCAAGTATGTGGTTCCATTCTCCATTACAAAGTTATAGCCCGGACAAAAATTTTATACTTTTTCTGCCAGTGATGTTGGACTTGTCAGAATTGGTCAAGTTCATGACAAATCCTCGAGTCATAAGCAATCTCTGTACGAAGTATGAGCTTCCAGTGATTCTCTATTGCAAAATAACAGCCCGGACAAGATTGCATGATGATATGTTTATCTTGAATTCCCTTAATATAACATTATTTCCGCAAAATTTTCGAACAGCCCTCGTATACACGAGTTGTCCCATGTCACCTTCCTTATGTGTTATCATTACTGCACTAAGTACAGTTGTCACTTTCCGTTGACAAGAGAGGCTCTCTCTGACTGTGTCAGTTTTCTACACTGTTTATTCATCCAAAATGGATGAAGATTTCCACCTTCTAAGGTTATCATTGTTCTAAACATTATTTAGTTTCAAGAATCAGGACTTAATTTTTACGCGTGCTCACATTTTTATATTATATATTAGAATTTTGATGTATACTCAAAATAGCAAATGAGTATTCTACACATGTAATTGTATGTATGTTGTTGAAAGTAATATCAAACATCGCAAATGCCTCTTTATTAAGAAGTTTCAGCAAACTTACAAACAAGCAAACAGAACTACAGCCGTCTCCTGACGTAGTAGGCAGACGTAATTATATTATTACTGATCACAGTAATGAACTTTAATGCAGCAAAATATTTACTATCGCAAGATGATTAATTGCCAGGAGTGATAAACAAGTCTCATGCTCGTGACTAGAGACAAGATGCACACATCACTAAAATGACGCAACATTTATTTTTGAAACATGATTAATATTGCAAGGGAGGATAAACGAGTTCTTTTCACGTGACGGGAGACAAACACTTCATGACTTGTATGCTATAAACATTGAAAAACATAATAGTCATTTCCTATATATAATTAAATTTTACACGTATTCAGTTTTTGAAAAGTTTTATTCAATCAAACAGTAAAGCTATTTCGCTCCTTTAAATTATTTTAAAGTAAGGCAAAAAATACAATTGAATTTTCCAGTAATGATGAAGACGTTCACCCCAAGCTCATGAATTTACTACATTTGTAACAGCTAACAGTACATATTATAGGTTAGCATCTTAATCACTCCATTAGAGCATCTAAGCCTCCGCGTTCCTGTAACTTCTGAACTCTCCTCCTGCAGTTGCTTGTAGATTTCTCGTACAATTTCATCGGATAATTACTCGCATCAGAAAAGGGAATACCTGCAGAACACAGTCTTTAGCTTGTATTTGTTTATTTTTTTAAGGCATCTGTTCCTTCCACTGCAAAAACAATTCATACTTTAAAAGGTTTTTGTTCATTTTTCTTTTCAGAATTGAAAAGAGTATTATGTAATTCAATAGAAATCATTTTCGCTGCACTCGTACATTAATTATTTCTTTAAAATCCGAGACCTATTACGTCATACTTTGGTGGATTGACTTTTGCATTACCTGTCTCAACTATCCAGTGTTTGGCAAACATATCAGTTGGCCCGTTTAATCTTCGCATGTACCAAATCACATTCCATTTGAGAGTGTCCCCTCTCTAAGTAATTGTTGGTTAGAATTTGATTTGGAGGCTTATAACTGAAAAAATGTATGGAAAATTCGTTTCTGTCCAGAGTCTGGCATGCAGTATCGAGGGGCACTGCATCGTTGGAAGCTTATACTTGGTACAAAGATTATTTATGACCTGAGAGTAACATGACTTTGACCCAAGGTCATTCAGACAAGTTCAAGGTCACTGATAGAAAAAAACTATAAAATTCCTGTACGGGCTATAACTTTTTAATTATGATACATGAATCATTGGAAGCTCTGTACTTGGTCCAAAGAATTTTTATGACCTGAGGTTGTGTGTTGACCTTTACCCAAGGTCATTCTGGCAATAGCAAGGTCACTGACAGAAAAAGTATAAAATTCTGTGACATTGTAATGGAGGGTCATCGGAAAAACATACTTGGTACATAGATTGTTTATGACCTGAGGGTGTGTCAAAACCTTAACTCAAGGTGACGAGTTCAAGGTCAC